CACACACAGACACACACACACACACACACACACACAGAGACACACACATATACACACACAGAGACACACACACACACACACACACACACACACACACACACACACACACACACACACACACACACACACAGAGACACACACATATACACACACAGAGACACACACACACACACACACACACACACACACACACACACACACACACACACACACACACACACACACACACACACACACACACACACACACACACACACACACACACACACACACACACACACACACACACACACACACACACACACACAGAGCACACACACACACACACACACACACACACACACACACACACACACACACAGAGACACACACATATACACACACAGAGAGACACACACACACACACACACACACACACACACACACACACACACACACACACACACACACACACACACACACACACACACACACACACACACACTCATACTGACTGATTATTAAAACATGTCTATTTAAACATACAGGCCATATCTCTTATCCTACATCTCCAATAATTCTCCTGGGTAAATTCTTCTCCGTGCTCTGATGGACAGGATGAGAGGAGCATCTCCTCCAGAAGCAGTTCAGAAACATTCATTCAGACCACTTTAACACACACACACACTGATGTACATTCCTGCCTGTGTCTTTGTCCTTTTCTGGTAGCGCTGCGGCGGCTAAAGATAGCTGCTGCTCCGGCTCTTATCGGCACTCTGCCCCCTTCTGGTCTGACCCCCTCCCCCCGGTCTGGATGGTATAAAGGCGTAGGGTCGACCGTCCTCAGCACAACATGGCTCCGAAGAAGGTGGAGGCGAAGAAGCCGGAGGTGAAGAAGCCGGAGGTGAAGAAGCCGGAGGTGAAGGAGGAGGCGCCCCCCCCACCTCCGGAGCCCAAAGCCCCCGAGTTGGACCTGGCCAGCATCGTGCTGGACTTCAGCCCCGAGCAGGTGGAGGAGTTCAGGGATGCCTTCACGCTGTTCGACGAGACGCCGGCAGGCGAGATGAAGATCAGCTTCGCTCAGTGTGGAGACGTACTGCGGGCGCTGGGACACAACCCCACCAACCAGGAGGTTCTGAAGCTGCTGGGCCGGCCCAAGCCCGAGGAGATGCAGACCCAGCTGTTGGACTTCGACCGCTTCCTGCCCATGCTGCAGCACGTGGCGCGCTCCAAGGAGACAGGCGCCTTCGATGACTTCGTGGAGGGGCTGAGGGTCTTCGACAAGGAGGGCAACGGCACGGTGATGGGCGCCGAGCTGAGGCACGTCCTGGCCACGCTGGGCGAGAAGATGACGGAGCACGAGGTGGACCGGCTGATGGTGGGCCAGGAGGACGCCAACGGACACATCAACTACACCGAGTTCGTCAAGCACGTCCTGGCCGGGTAGACCCCCCACAATGCATCTGTGTTTGTTAATAAAGCCTCCTCCCTGACACCGTCCAGACCTCCTTCTTTACCAGTTACTAAACTCCACTGGCTGTGGGTCGGTCTCAGTACTGAAGTACACTTAGAGGTACTTGTACTTTACTTTAGTATTTCCGTGTTATGCTACCGTGTACTTCTACTATAGTTCAGACGTAGATGATGTACTTCTACTCCACTACAGTTCAGAGGTAAATGGCTCAAAGAGCTTAATATTATATATATTTGTATTATAATATATTGTACATTATTATATATGATATATCATCTGTATGATTCTGAAATGGACCCACCTGCACAATGACTACTTCTACTGAAGTGCCAGATGTGAGTGTTTCTCCACCCACAGCACCCCCTGCTGGTCTGTTCACACGTGTTCATTGTGATGCAGAGGTGCATTGTGGGTCTGTGTATTAGGTGATTACAGACAGGATATAAAATATAATCATATTATATGTTATTATTATATTTGACCTTCACCTGGTTTACCTCATGTTTATTCATGTGTGAGTTTCTTTATTCAATAATAAAGATATGTGTTTTACTTGATAACAAAGCTTCACATCAATCATTCACCAGTATTTATTACTTCAGTAAGGCTTATGAGCTGTAACTGGTTCAATATGAATATATGACGTGAAAGCAGGAGTCTGGTTATTATATGCTTTAATGTCTCCTAAAAAACACATCACACTGAAGTCTGTAAATAGTCTAACATGTGAGGAAAACAATAAACACAGGAAGTACATGTCCTCTAACTTCTGATACACTTAAATCTTTCAGCCTGAACACAGACCAGGAGGTTCACCTTCTTCAGACACATACTGCATGTACTGTATGTGTGTACATTACATTACATCACATGTTACTTGTCAGACGCTTTTATTCAAAGTGACTCACATAAGATGGACTTTTATTAATCAATTTTAATGGACTTTTTAATTAATCACAAACTGAATACTGTGGACAATCTCCACTGGAGCACTTTGGGGTGAAGTGTCTCAGGGACACAACGACATGCTGACTGCAGTGGGGTTTGAACGGTTTGAACCTGTGACCATCTGATCCCCAGACCAAGGCCTTAACCACTGCGCCACACGCCTCCCATGTATGTGTATATATATA